TGGATGGATGATGGATGGATGGATTGATTGATTGATTGGATGGATGATGGATGGATGGATTGATTGATTGATTGGATGGATGATGGAGGGATGGATTGATTGATTGATTGGATGGATGATGGAGGGATGGATTTATTGATTGGATGGATGATGGATTGATTGATTGATTGATTGATTGGATGGATGATGGATTGATTGATTGATTGATGGATGGATGAAAGTCTTAATCCCAGTCTTAAAACTGGATAATGTGTCAGCCTCACGGACAGAAACAGGAAGTTGGTTCCACAAGAGAGGAGCCTGAGAACTGGAAGATCTTAATCCCATTCTGCTTTTGGAAACTCCAGGAACCACGAGTAAACCTGCAGTTAGTAACCAGCTTGGTTCTCACTGTGTTCAGCTGATGTTTGAGTGAATCTCTGCTGTGTTTGATCTCAGGTCAGCAGTGGGAAATATCCAGGTGTGATGTGGGACGACGATGATAAAACCATGTTCCGCATCCCCTGGAAGCACGCAGGGAAACACGACTTCCGTAAAGACGAGGACGCGGCGCTCTTTAAGGTGTCGATGCTTTCTGACCACCGCACATTCACATCCGTTCAGATCATCTTTGATGAAGCTCAGCAGAGTCTTGTGTTCCCTGCAGGCGTGGGCAGAGTTCAAAGGCAAGCCGTCAGACGACAGCCCCGCTGCCTGGAAGACCCGTCTGCGCTGCGCCCTCAACAAGAGTCCCGAGTTCAAGGAGGTGATGGACCGAGCCCAGCTGGACATCTCTGAGCCGTACAAGGTGTACCGCCTCGTCCCCATCAGTGAGCAGGGTGAGACGTCACACACAGTCACACTTTTACTTTGTTTTCTGAGCGACCGCAGAGGAATGACCCTTTTTATCACCTCCAGGTAATAACTGATGTTCTGGTGGTGAATCAAATGTAATAATGATGATGTCAGAGCTGTAAAAGTCCATGTTAGATTTTAAGTATTTACATACATCTCTTTCAGAAACATGAAATATTCAGTATGCTTATTTTAGTTGTTTGGCATGATTTGTCAAATTTTAAAGCAAAATAATGGAATTAATTTAAAAATGACTGTATTTAGTAAATGCTAAAACAGAAAATGGTTAGGACTAAAATAATTACACCCCCCCCCCACACACACACACACACACTCTCTCTCACAATTTAAATAAAGGCTGACAAAGAATCTGGAATCCAGAGATTTTTAGATTAAACAATAAATATATTTAAGAGCCTATCTTTACAAAACTCTCCGAAGTGTTTTAGGTAAATCTTTTTTTAATCTGAAGTTAATTTGGACTGTTGTGCAGCTGGAATAACTTTAATTTACTGGTTTTAAGACCTGCAACTACCATCTTCTCCTTTATTTTCCAGAACAGTCAGTATATGCATGTGTGTGTGTGTGTGTGTGTGTGTGTGTGTGTGTGTGTGTGTGTGTCCTTGTTTATGCTACTTTGTGAGGCCCATTTTTCCAACTTATACTACATTGTGGGGACCAACTGCTCCTTATGGGGCCCAAAGCCCGGGCCCCATAAGAAGAAGTCCCGTTGGTGGGTTAGGGGCTAGGTTTAGGACTAAGGTGTGAATTGAGGATGTGTTAGGTTTAGGGTTAGGTATGTACTGGTAATGGTTAGGTTATGGATAAAGGTTATGGTTAGGCTATAGAAATGAATGAAAAATGAATGGAAGTCAATGCAAAGGCCCCACAAAGATAGCAAAACAAACCTGTGTGTGTGTGTGTGCAGGTAAATTTCAAGACTAGTACGAGCCTCACCATTAAACAATACAGAGATTAAATTACTGCAGTAATAAATACATACGTAGTATACATTTCTGAATTGGTAGAAATAAAATATTCATGTTGGCTATGATGTGACAACAAGTAAGGTGTAGCCAGATTAAACTAATCCAACTGACCTGCAGTAATTTAATCTTCAGTCTAATCCATTGAACAATAATTGCTGAGTCATTTGTTTCTATCCAAACACAGAAGAACAAACACATAAATGTCGCAGAGATAAGCATTTGAAACTACTAAATCACACTTTATGTTCAAAACAACATTTCAGTCCTGTCATGTACTTCTGGTGTTGAGGGAGTGGTGGTGCAGAGGTTAGAGAAGGTGGGGCTGTGATCAGAAAGTCGCTGGTTCAACTCCCTGGACCGACAACATCAAAATGTGTGTGGGGAAGATGAAACACTCACACCTGCTTCCACCCTCCTTTGCCCCACCCTGGGCCCTTGAGCAAGGCCCTTAACCCCCACCATCTGCTCCCCCATGTGTCCTACATGCAGCTCTCTGCTCCACACAGAGGCTGTGGTCGCTCGGTGTCTGTGGTTGAGTCAGGAAGAACATCCGGTGTAAAGATTTCCAAGTCTTTGTGAGAGTTAGTTCACTGTGGCGACCCCTGAAGAAGGGAGCAGCCGAAAGAAAAAACACACTAATGGTGGTTAAAGCTGTAGATGTCACAGACTCTAACAACCAAACCATCTGAAACAAGTAGAGAGAAAAGAGCCAAACTCAAGTACTTACTGGTAGTACAATTACAACTCTATGAATATTTACTACAACTACTAACGATCTCTGCCCGTTCTGCACTGCGCTCCTCACACAGTTGGGACTAACAACATTGCAGCCGGCGGGCTGGCTCACTCTTCATAACGTGGACTGAATATGAATCTATTATTAATCTTTTCTTCCATGAAACACCAGGTACTCACCGGTTTTAACTAAAAGGAAAACAACGAATCATTTTAAGATGAAAAACGGCGCCCAAAGGAAAACGTCAGACATATTCAACTGAGATTCTGTTTAAAAGGTTATGAAAGATGAATATCTTACCTGTTGCAGATAGCTTTTTGAGTTACCTCAGCTCGGATAAATCAAGTTTTTGTCTGACTGGATTGACAAGCTGAGAGCTAGTTCGAACAAAACTAACCTTAAATCGCTGCTGTCTTAAAACGGCTCCAGTCTCAAAGGGTTCTTACAAACGTCACCATCATATTTACATTTCATGGGGTTTACAAAGAATTCTGGGATTGTTTGCAGCAACAAATAGTGTAAATATATATACATACTTGAGAGTAAATAGCAGCCAAAAGACGTAGAACTTCCCAGGACATCCAGGCGTCACATGTAGAGGCAACGTCATGCGATTTCTGCCAGATTAACCAGATTCATTTCTGCCAGATTACTTAATCTAATGTGAATTTCCTGCTGCTGGAACTCCCCACTTTTCAGTTTGAACTGAGGAACCTTTGATGAGGAGTAACACATCTAAAAACAAGAAAAGAAGTTGAGTTGTTCTGTTTAAGAACGTTCAGGGTTTGTGTAATTCAGTAATGACGGCAGTCACTATGAAGGTTTGAATAATATAGTTAGAATAAACTGCTGTGAAATGTTACGTATTGAAGCTGCTTTAACGTGACCCTTTCATCTAAACTAGTCATTTGAATTTTGTCAGTACTGCCTGAACAGACCCACCTCTAAAATCAGATCATTGTCGTCTTAAAACAACTCCAACCTTCACAATATCACAGCGATTCAGATGAAAGGTAATATTTCAATCGTTACACCAGAGGTTCACAAACTTTTAGCTTCCAACCTCTAAAATAACGACGGCAACCCCAAATATCCGTAGTTGAACAACACAAAGTTTGCTATTAAAAAAGGTAAATGCGAGCAGATCGACCAAACCAACCGCCTAAACTCATATTACACCATTATTTTCTATGTTTCACCATTGATTTAATATTTTAAAATAACTCAAATTTTATTGGCTGTATTTATTTTTGTAGCTTGTTGGTTTCTGAAAAATCATCTCAAGATATCAGTGTTTTGTGACCCACAGTGGGGTCCTGACGGAAGCACTGCCCACTGTCCATTTTTCACTACTCTGTTTCTTAAACACTAAAGGTAAACCTTTAGTGCCATATGTTGCTGGTGTGATTTACGCCTGTAAACTATGACAGAATTAGAGCCTGACCAATATGGACATTTTGGCTATCGTCCATATTGAGAGGGGCAGGCTATAATGGCTGAAAATTTTTCAGCTTTGTCCCAAGAATCTAAGGAAACAGCGAGTGGAGCGGGGCTTGTTTATTTAGCACAGCTGTTAGCAACCATGAAGCTAATCAGATCCATGCTATATGTAGTCCCATACTAGGTTTACAAGTGTGTTACAAAAATATAAATTAAACAAAGAAACACTCTTATCTGTTCATTAAACAGTCAGTCATGTATGGTGAAGGTCTAATTAGTTTTGACCACAGCAGAGTTTATTTTTCTTTGTAGAGAAGTAAAGATTTCAGAAAAACAATGTGTTTCTTTCAGAACGACAAAGATAATATAATTATAACGTCCAGTACTCTGCTTTGGTCCATTATTCAGTTGATTTGTACATTAAGACAGAATGTCAGAGCTGAAATGCACTTCTCAAGTATCAAGTTAAAAGTTTTAAATCTTTAACACTGATATATTTTACCTCTGCATTAGATTTGTTGTTCTGGATACAGTTTTACAAGCCTGCACTACGTTGTCTAAAGGTTAGCTTGCTAACTTGAGAGGCACATATCTAACGACAAGCAGGTTGGAGGATTGAAGATAATACATTATTGTTAATTTGTTTTACAGATCAGTTAACATGCTCTCTTCAGCAAAATATGCCACTATTGTTCCCTGCTTCTGCTGCCCTGCAAGTGAAACTTAAGTGAACGGCCATGACTTGAAAGTAGTCTTCATGCCCCCTCTGCTGGATACATTGTACAATTACAGCTGGTTCACAGCATTTTAGGGGTGAAAATTAAAAGTGTTTATATCGGTGCATATTGGGACAGTTATCACCAGTATGTCCCCATACGTCTAGCCTAAAATATCAGCCCTACCGATATATCAGTCGGGCTCTAGATAGAATTTCATGTCAACAGACGTGTTTTGCAGAAGCTGGTGGTGAAGTAAAAGTTTATCAAATTAATTTTTGAAGATATGAGTTCCTTTAAGGTGGCAGTACTCCCTCCACTCTGGTCCTAGCCATAGGATACTATACCATACTAGCTATTAGCTTATCAAACTGAGGCTATCTACAACAGGTAAGATACTGATTAGTCATAACATCTACACAGAAACCCCACCTCAGAAGGGCTGAATTATTCCTTTAAGTGGCTCTTTTGTTGTTAAAGTAAATCTTGAATTTATTTGTTAGAAACTGAGCTTGATGTTGAACAACAGTAGAAGTGTTTTTTATATTAAATACTTTTCCTTTCTTGAGTGCTTAGATCACATCATTAGTCTGGTTCTACATATCAGATAACATATAATTATAACATCCAGTTCTCTGGTTTGGTCCATTATTCAGTTGATTTGCACATTAAGGCAGAATGTCAGAGCTGAATGCACTTCTCAAGTATCAAGTTCAAAGTTTTAAAGCCTAAAGTGCCGCAGCATGAACTGCAGGCAGCTTTTAATTGGCCCCATTTAAAACCAGTGCATCTGTCACAGTGGGTGGTGCAGCCTGCTCTTTAGATCAGTAAAATATCAGATTGATGGGTGGAGTTCAGCAGAAGTTTGTTTTGGTGTTTCTGGAGCCTGGAGGAACAAAGACGGGTCAGAATCCTGGTTAAACTGCGTGTGGTCTTCTGTCGAGTCAGCTGAGACAAAGATCCTGGCCATGTTGAACTTGTGTTCCAGATAACGTCGACCTGAGTGGTGTTCAGATCATATCATTGACCTTTGACCTGTTCAGCTGCACACGCAGCGCACTTCTAAAGGGTGTTAACCAGAGTGATCGCCCCGCAGCGATACGACACTTTGCAGCGTTTAACGTGTCGGATGACGTTTGTTGTCTGGCTGCTCATCTTTTAGAGTTCTGTGGGAAGGTCATGAACAGTCAGTATCTTAACTGTTGTAGGTAGCTCTTTGAACAACCTCGGTTTGGAGACATCGTTTGTATTAGTTCACACATTTTACTCCATTAGTTTCACGCTGTAACAAACAAACTTTTATATGAATTATCTCTTTATTTCAAACTTCAAGCAGATTTGATTCGTGAGAAACGAGGCAGGAATGGGTATTTTGGTTGTGAAGGTTGCAGACTCCTGAGCAAGAACATTCCAACAGAACGTTTAAACATCTCCTCACAGTTAGCTGTTCTTGTGTCAGCCGATACATTGAGTCAGACTCTGGTGGTTTTGTTTTTGTATTATTTTTACTCCTGCCCTGGAAAACTCACGCTGCCTCTGATTTCACAGTCAGGAGTTCGTTTTGGTTTTATTATGGAA